TCTTCTGATTTTTAAATGTTGTCAGTTAGTGTACTGGTCACAACAAACGTTTGGGAGTGAGGGTGTTTTTCCTCATTGAGTGAAGATTGCATGTATAGTTCTCATCACCAGATTAATAATTGTGTACTTTAGAAGCAAATAGAAAGAGTTTTGCTATTCTAGCCTAAACTTGTTCCAAAGTACATCAATGAGACTACTTAAATGTAGATTGAGTAACAGGGGATAGGGTAGTTGCAGTGGTAGAGCACTTGCCTAGCTTGAGGCCCTGGATTCTATCTGCAGCAACCTTCTCCCAAAAAACCCAAAACTCAAACTAAATTATAAACTAAAAATGGGTTGGTAACAATGATGGCAAAAAATAGAGAAGAAATAAACCTATAGTGGCTTAATAAGTGAGAAACCAAGGGAAAAAAATCTGTGAAAACAAGCTACATACTTAGCAAAATGTATTAAGCTGAATGATAATAAGAAAAAAGCTACATTTAAATCTATTTTAATCTCATACCATGGGAACTAAATTCCAGATGAATTAAATATTTTGAAATGAACATTATACTTACCTTTATTGTAGAGAGGAGATAATTTATACATTGTTGAAGCAATAAAGAAATTAAATACTGCCAAGGTTGGAATGTTCAAGTATGGAAAAAAACTGATTCTCTAATATACAGATAAAAGCAATACAATGGAAACTATTTTCAGTTTTTCTATAATGGATAAGATTTTTTTCATGTAAGTAGGGATATATCTATAAAGGTATATCAGATAGAAAACCAAAGGCTAGTTTACCTGTAGAAAATGACAGTGATACTACTATTTAGCCTAAAGAGCTTCACTTGTAATATGAACATAATAGTAGTATCCATTTCTACATTATTTTGGAAGAATAAATACAGTGTTATATACTCCTTAGCTCAGTTCCTGGCCCTATAATCATTAGCTGCTATTTATCGTAGTCATCCTCATTATCATATTCCAAAGGAAGTTTTGAAGTTACCTATCAAAGCTTCTTTCCATTTTAATCAAGATGGGAAAATACAGGTATTCAAACCAATTTTACATCTATGTTTTCTACGAAGCACTTTCCCATATTCTGTCTCATTGATTCTCACTGTAGCTCTAGGAAGTCTTTAAATAGTTCTCAGTTGGGCTGGGGATTTAGCTCAGTGGTTTCGCTGCCTGCTGCACAAGCGCAAGGACCCAAGTTCGATCCCCAGTACCAGAAAAAAAAAAAAAAGTTCTCAGTGGAAGCTTTCAGGATTCACTCTTCCATAGTTACAGCTTGATCTTGTCATCATCCTTATTGCTGTACCTATAAAATCAATTCAGATAATTCAAGAATTCCCCTATTCTGGTCACAAGCTTGTCTTTCCGGCTTGCATATATATATATTTTTTTTGGCAGCCAATCTTTGACCTCTAGTCCTTTTGCCTCTTGTATTTTCTCCTGTGTGATCTTTTCCTTTTCTCTACTTTTATCCTTTTTTCTCCTGATAAATTTTTTTTCATAATGTCATGACAACATCTACTGCCTGTCTCTGCCCCACTCTTGTTTTTCTAACAAATTTAAAAGAATTTTGATGGGCAAAGGATTTGAATGGTTATTTCTCCAAAACAGATACACGAATGAATAGGCATATGAATAAACAAGTGAAAAATGTTAACATCATAAGTCATCAAGGAAATGCAAACCAAAATCACCTCTTCACATACACTAGACTAGCTATAAAATGGGCCCTTTCAACTTTTGATGATATGGAAGATTGGGGCCCTGATACATTGCTAATGTAATATAGAATGGTGCAGCTGCTCTGATGAACAGTCTAGCAGTTCCTTAAAATATTAAACTAATGTTACCATGTGGCCTAGTAATTTGACTCCTTGATACCTACCTAAGTCAACCCAAAAAACCTGTACATCAAAGTAATTGCAGCATTACTCATAATGACCAAAAAGGAAAAACAGCATCAATGTGCATTAACTGATAAGTGAATAAACATACAGTGGAATATTATTTAGCCACAGAAAGGAATAAAATTTTTATATATGCTACAGCATGATGAATCTTGAAAGCATTGTGTTTAGGAAAAGAAGCCACCTACAGAAAAACAAAAACAAAAAAACCCAGATACTGTAATTTTCCATTTATATGAAATGTTCAGACAAATTTATAGAAAAAAGGATCAGTAGGTACCTAGGACTGGGGTGGAGTAGGAGATGTAAAAGAATGGGGAGTGACTGGACATAGATACAGGGTTTCTTTTTGGAGTGAGGAAAATATTCTGAAATTAGATTTTAATGATGGATGAACAACTCAAAAATAGAATTGCATAGTTTACACAGGTAATCTTTATGGTATTTGTATCTCAAAGTGGTTGAATTAAAAAAAATATATTGTCATTGGCTCATGGCACATATTTCTCAGTACAATTGCTAGAAAAGTTGATTTTGAGACTATATATCACTATATAGTATTGACATTGAAATTGCCTTGGGGGATGTCCTATTTTTCCAGTTAACTAGAATAAGAGAATGCCTTTTTAAAAATAATACCTCTTGTGAAATGTCTTTCAAAGGTTTTTTTTTTCTTGTTTCAGTTTAATATAAAAAACAATTTGCAGCCAGTGACTCAGTTTTTATTCTTGCAATTAATAGTACACATATAAGGGGAAGACAAACATTGTAGCAGTAAATAGAAATGTCATTTTCTCTCCCATACTTTTCCATTTCTATACCTTTGTTGTATTTTGCAATGTTAGTATATCCTTGGCTCTTCTTTTTCTTCTTTTTGTCTTTCTTTTGGCCTTACTTTACTCTTAGTTTTACTCTCTGTAGGGACCACTGATAATCTGTTCAAAACTGTGAAGTATTGTGTCTATCTGAGAAAAATACACATGAATTTGCACATCACATTTTGCTTACAATTTCAGGAGGGTCACATTTCATCCAGGTAGAGAATTTCAACTCTGCCTACTCACTTTGCTGGTCTCATGCACTTCTCGGCTGTTATTATTTGTATGGTGACCATTTCGAAATTCTAAAATCTCTGTCTCTGTGCCAACTGTCTAGGTCCAATAGGATGCTCTACAAGTACCTCAAACTGTCTAAAATTGGAATATCACTTTTAACCACCCTCCCTATACTTCATTTCTCCCGAGTCGCCTATCCTTTTGAACAGAATAGGATTCCAAATCAGAATACCTCAGCCACTCTGGTCTGAATTGATATTAAGCATCATTTTTAATTTTTCCCTTTCCCTCCACATATAATCAGTCATGAAGTTTTCATAAGTGTGCCTAAATGCTTTTGAAATGTTTCTTTGCATTCCCATTCCCACCCTAGTCCAAGTCATCTTTGCTTGGTGGAAATCTATAGTCGTCTGACTAATCTCTCCTGGTCACCTCTGATTCATTCTCCACATTGCACCTAGTGAACTCCCAATGGCTTTCCAGTGTCTTTAGAATGGACACCAAACTTACTAACATTGTTAATACCATTTATAAGGCCCTACATGATCTAGCTTCAGCTTGCCTGTCCAGGCAGCTATGTCTTTCATCACAGTCTGGGTCAGTCTCACTGATCTTCTCTTTCTCACCTGTGCCACATACTTTATCACCTTTGTACCTTTACGTGTTTTGTTTTATTCCTGTTGTCCACACCTGGTCCTTACTTATTCTTTAGGTCCTTGCTTTAGATTTGTCTCCTGTGGACCCTTACCCTGATTCCATTCATGAGATCCATTTGATACCTCCTCTGCTTCCTACTTTTTCCTTGCTACAGTGTTGGCACAGATGTTTTATGACTGTCTCCCTGCCCTCTGGATTGTGAATGCTGGAAAGGGAGACACTTGTTGTTTTGGTCTTATTTATCATTGTATCTTCAGTACTTAGCTCTGCATCTGGGAGAGCAGGTGTTTAATAAATGTTTTGGTTTGGGTCTAGATGTCCCCCACAGTCTCATGTGGTGGCTGAATCTAGAGTGTGTGATGCTGGGATTAAGGATGTGTGATTACTAAACCAGTATACTGACTGGTTTGGCATCACCCTAATCCCTGGTAGCCTGAAAAAGATAAAAGGGGCAGAAAGACTCTGTGAAGCCCCTTGTTGCTTTTGCTACTTTGTGCGTGCCATGTTGTTTCTCCTCTGCAGTGCCTGTCTGCCATGTGCCACCCTGCCTTGGAGCCAGCCAGTTATGGACTGAAACCTTTACAAACTGAGCCAAATAAACCTTTCCCCCTTTAAGATTGGGTGTTGGGTATTTTGTGTTAACAACAAGAGAAAAGTAAAACAATAAATTTCTTTTGAATGAGAATGTGTCTCACTACCTGACATATCTTTTTTCCTACCTTCCCTCCACCTCAGCCCTGCTTGACAAAATCTTACACAATTACCATCTATTTTTTTTTTTAACTCAGTAAACAATTATGGTGCCCTTTTAAGTGTTTCAGGAATTGTTTTAGGCATTAATAATATAATGATGAATTAAATAACCAAATGTCTCTGTTCTCCTGGAGCTGAAATTCTACTGGTAGAGAGAGAAATTAAGTAGATTAGTAAGTAAATATACAGTATGTAAATGAAAGTACTCACATACTTTCAGACAGAGGAAAAACAAAGCAGGAAAGATGGAACTGCATCCAAGTAAAGAGTTCACATTTTAGACAGGGTGGCCAGCAAAGTCTGAGAAGGTGACTTTTGGACACTGACTTGAAAGAAGTAAGGGGGCTATCCCTGTTGCTTTCTGAAAAACATTCCAGCCAGAGAGTTAGCACAAAGGCCCCAAGGTATGTGCTACATTGAGGGACAGAAGGGACTAGTTGGGGGCCCAAGGGAAGACCAGTGGGATGTGAGGTGAGAGAGGCAAACATTCTCGGAGTATGGCTGTCTTGCTCTGATTCCTGGGTGTCCTTCACAATTTTAAATTGTTTTGAGTTGTCAGTGTTCTGAATTGCCAGAAAGGACGATGAAAGTTTCTCTTCTTAACAGTTGCTCTTAAATCCAGGACTACGGAAGTGCTGGGGAGCATGCTGTGATGCTGGTCAGCATGCAGTCTCCTCTTTGGTGAGTTTTGTCTTTAGGGTTTTATTTGTTAACAGTGCTACGTCTTTCTCAGGAGATTTGCCTCCTCCTCACTAGGATTTGTGAGGGAGTGAAGACATCATCAATCTTATAGGAGGGTTGCCTACCACTTACTTCACTATTTCAGTTCCTACATGTCTTAGTTCACATGGCAGAAGTCCTCACATAGTGAGTAGATGAATGAGTGTGCTCAGGCACATGCTAAGAGGCCCAAATTTATCTTTTTCATCAGCAGCCCACTTCCATGATAACTTCAAGTTCTCTGATAACATTCATTCATTCCTGAGGGCAGTGTCCCCATTAATTTAGTTACTTCCTGAAGATCACATCTCTTAAAGTTGTGGTTTCCATAGTGTAGTGGTTATCACGTTTGCCTCACACATCTCTTAATGCCATCACAATGAAAATTTAATTTCAAGGTGTGTTTTTGAAGGTACAAGCATTCAAACCATTGCAAGGTTCTTGCATTACCAGGGTTGTTATGAACGTTGTCCAACTTTTTCCACCACTGTCTGGACTTAGAATTTTGAAGCCAAATTGCTACTTTCAACTTGTTTCTTTTTCTCACCTTAGCGTTGTAATTTTAGTTAATTGTGTGTTGCAGTAGGTTGGGTTAGCTTAGTTTGGGTTTTACCAACTTTGGTGTCCTGGCCCCAGAGATTATCCTCGTTATAATACAGCTCTTCCTGGGGAATTTGGGCCCCACCCCAGATGAGATGACTGGATTTCCTTTGCTGGCACTCACCCCCACAGAAAAGAAAAGGCCTCCTCTGGGCAGAGCTCCACTATGAGTGGAGTGTAGATCTTTGGGCCCCCATAGCCTATAGTTAGTAATACCAGAAATCTCTGCTAGATTGTCATGTTTTTCCTTTTAGTGATTCACTCACGGCAGTATGCTCCATAGAAAGGGACTATAAATTATAAATTGATAGGAGATAATAATTGGAAAAATGATCCGACTCCATTTTTATTCCCCTCTAGGGAAGACATGTCAGGAATCACTAAAGCAGTAAGCAACAGGGATTTTTCAGCCAGCTTTCCAGCTTTAGTACTGCAGAGCTTTCGTCCTGATTAGGGAGGAGAGCAGCCAAATTTGGCAGGAGGCGGCCAGCAGACCCAGTATCTGCTTACCACCTCTTGCTCCAAAAAGCCTTGCTGCAGAGAGTTGCCATGGCAGCAGGAGGCAGTTTAATGGCAAAGGCTCATCTCTGGAGCAGCACTCTGTGCCCCAGCCATTTCCTTCTCTTCAACTCAAGGGGCTGGTTATACCAAGGCATCACTGTACTATGGCCACTTGCAGGCATGTTGTCTAATGGAGTAGAACTATAAGAGCCTCCAGATTCTAAGAATGGATAGTGCTATCCCTGTGTCTCTTGAGCACATAGCTCTTTGATGCCCCACCCTGTAGTCAACTTTACCAGATTATTTGCAGTTCCTTAAATATGCTTTTTCATGCTTCTGTGCTTTTAGGCATTGCACTTTCCTCTGCCTCGAGTGCTCCCTTCTCCATCTGTGTGGAAAATTCTTACTCAGTTTCAAAATGTGGCTTATACACTGCCTCTTCCTTCTTAATCCTGCCAGTAATCCCTTATCCTCCATATAAAACTGTACAATTTCTACTGCCATTTCAACCTTGCCACATATCATGGTTTTGAAATGATTGATTGTATTTTTGTCTCTTTTCTAGACTATGTATCAAAAACTGTTATGGATTTTGTATCCAAAGGGCAGGAATACTCAGTAAGAACTGTTGAATGAATAAAATATTTTCGTATCATATCATCCTATTTATTCCTTATTATATGAGTGTAGTTACATGTAATGTATAGCATGATGTCCTGGCCGGATCATCTCTATCTTCTGTGAGGTGCCAAAGGATTGACCTGATTTAATCGGTCAATCATCAGTCTACCATTCACTTGACATTACATTTATTCTCATTTTCCACTTTAAATTAGAAAGACTAACACTTCATAATCAGCCTTCCCAGGGTTCGGGTCAGTGCAACTTTACATTAGTTGCCCAACTTCTAAGTTATTTCGTCATTTGTTGAATCAGGCTGTTATAAGAATAGAACCTAAGATGTTTTGTGACTTTACTTACTAAGTAAATTCTTAGTAAATCTTATTTTCTTTACCCTCTCCTATCAGTGAAGTGAGTGAAAAGGAAAACACTAGCTGTAAACCTTCTCTGGCATTATATCATATTCAGTTTCATCTTCTTACTCTGAACACAGATTTGAGTCCCCTCTTTTTGTGGCTCTCGTGCCTCTTCTGAGCTTCTGTGATTTGAGTGTGCCTCCTTTGCCTCATTGCTCTATTTTCATCTTTGGTGCATCTGTCCTTTTGTTCACTGTGTACACACATCATTTTGCTTAGATGTTTTTTCCTTTTCCTGCCTTTTAGACATAATTATATGTCAAAATTTTAACTGAAAGTAAATTTATTTTTTTTAATCTCCCTCAAATAATTCCACAGGCTATCCCAATTAGAAAATGTATTGGTGTGTCTTTCTTTCTATGTTCTCTCTATATTTGCTTTGCATTTTGGTCTGAACATTTTTTTCTAACTTTTACCTTCAAAGCTTCCTTAGGGTATTTTGCAGTTCCCTTTGCATTTGTTTTCTCTGTGTCATGCAGTCATGCAGTATGGACCTTGTATGTGCCAATGTCTGCAGGTGTCTAGGCTGTTTAGTTTCCGAGTATTTTTCTCTTACTGCTTTTCATCCTTCTTTCATTCCCACTTTTGGTATTTTATTCATTCCACCTCCTCTAAAGGATGTGAAGATTAACAGAGCTATTATTATTAATAAGTATACCTGAAGATGCACTCAAAATACCAATGATAAACTTGTTTTTAAGTTAGATCTTGTTTTAAGTTAGATTTATGAATTATCTATGATACTGGTTTTCAATCTGGGAGGGATGGGCACAGAGCCCAAAGTGTGTAACCAGAGTTGCCTGGGAAGCTCTTGAAAAATCTGTGTGGCCTTTCCTGTCCTTACCATATGCCTAGGCAGAGTGAAAATGAGTTGAGATTTGAGGAATCTTTCTTTTCACCTTCTCAGTTGAAAAACAACTGAGTTTTCAGTTGCTTAGAATACAGCAGGCCCCCTTATCTTCAGGAGATACAGTCTAAGACATTAACCAATACTTGAAACCAGGGATAGTACTAAACCCTATCTGTCTGTCTGGCTGTCTATCATTCTGTCTTTTTTTCATATACATATATATCTATGAGAAAGTTTAATTTATAAATAAGGCACAGTAAGAAATTAACAAGAACCAATAATAAAATTGAACCATTATAACAAGGTACTCTAATAAATGTTATTGAAAACTTACCAATGTTTACTTCTGGAATTTTCCATGTAATGTTTTCAGACTTTGATCACAGGTAACTGAGACCACAGAGAATGAAACTGCAGATAAAGAGAGACTACCGTAATCTAGTCTGATAATGCCATGCTTATTAAGAGTTGGTTATTTATTTCATCGTAAAACAAACAAAAAAACTTGCCACATACAGTTCTTGTTTAAAATTAAAACTAAAACTAAGATATGGATTTATTTATCTAAGGGCATTTCAGATGGGCAAGAAACTAGTACCACTTTTGCTGGATCATCAATTTATGTTTGATAAAAACACTTTTTCTAGTCTATAAATATTCAGTTAAATACTATTTAGTTAAAATGTAATTATTTGTAAACATGTTGCCATAGGTTAGATAAACTTGAAAATGCTGGAAATAGAATAATCAAAGTTGATTAACAAACAGTTAAAATTATTAGTGATATTTATGGGAAATAATTTGAGAAGAAAGAATGGAACCAGAGTGAAACTTAGAAGGGCTAGATTTGAGTTCATTCTTTGGCACCAAGTTCTCTTGAGCCATGTAGTTAGTCCCTTGGGGCCGCAGGTTTGTTATCTGTGCAATGGCAGTAGCCTCTATGTACAGAGTTGTTGTGAAGATCAAATATGGTCATGTTGTTGTTTGACAGTGCCCAGTAGCTCAGTGTCCAGTAAGGATGAACAGAATCTAAACCTGGAACCTGTAGGTTATTTTTCACATTGTGTGTGCATGTGCATGTGTGTGTGTGTGTGTGTGTGTGTGCGTGTGTGTGTGCGCGCGCGCGCGCGCACGCACAGAGAGAGAGAGAAAAAGAATTTAGTATTTTCTCAGACTGGTGGTAGAGAAGGTATGGAGTGTAAATGTGTCTATGTATGCTTGTGGATATAAATTTCTAAAGACACCATTTCATTATTTTGTAGATTTTTCTCAAACCATATGTAAGAGCTTCCTAAGGTGCAGGGTTAATTTTATAGTGCTGTATAGTTATGGTAGAATTCTTCTCATTCTCTTGTTCTTATTTTCCTTGGGCCAGACCTGTTCTAGAGCCTACTTATTTTTTATCAAGGGCAATGACCTAACAGTCATAAACAAAGTCATACATATTCTTCTTCCAAATGAGAGCTAAATATTAGCATTGTAGTCCTATTTTATGCCTGAATTTAAAAAAGTGTTGAGTTTAGTGCCTATCAATTGTAAAATGTGTGAAAGGCAAATAATTTTCTTAATATATAAATCACTCTAAGTATATACTGTATGTTAGGTGCTTTATAATTAACATTACAGCAAACCATAAAATAGGTGATACACAGTTTTACAAATAAACTGAAGCTCAGAATAATAAATCTATTTTCCAAGGTCAGAGAACTATTGACAGAGAAAATCAGAAAGCAGGTACAGGTTGATCTGACTAAACCATGGTATCAGGCTCCTGCTCAGTTACTAGTATAAATCAAAGGAATATGTTTTAAGGTATAATAAAGGTAGTAGGGACACTTTGGGCCTTGGAGGCTTGTAGAGGCATTTTAAAGCTTAATTTTACTTTTTTTTCAGTCTTTCCACCTAATTCTTCACTTTGGGCAGGATAATCAGTCAGTGGATCTGTCCTCAGGCGGTTATCTCTGATCTAGGTTAGGCACAGTTGCAAGGCCCTGGCAGCCTCTGGCTTTTTTTCCTTTCCCTAAGCCTGTTTCTCTACTGTCATGTGACTTCAGATATTTCTTGAAGTGTTGCTTATCACTTAGAGCTATGCACTCAGCTCCTTTTCTTAACCCCAGTTCTACTGCCTCCCACCCCAACACAGCACGGTATTATTGTGAGGATAAAATGAGTTAATATATATAAAGAGTTCAGTACAGTGTCTAGTACACAGTAAGTACTCAATGTTAATTAACATTATTCTTATAGGTATTGTTAATAGCATTGTTATTAATGGTGATGTTGGTTGACAGTGGCAGTTGATTTAAAGGTTTGTAACATTCTCCTCAAGGATCTGAGTGTTCCCTGTCCAGAATATGGTTTTATGCCATTCATTATGCAGGGTCCCAAATGTGGACATACAGAATCAGTTGTACAGGATAGGTGGAGCTAGAAGTTGTAAGGGAATGCTTGTTCCTACCCAAAGTTTGCTAGAAACAGTAATATGCTTATATTACCTTCTTGTCATCAGCCATGGCAGCTGTCCTACTTCCAAAACAAATCTTTTTACTTGGCTTCTTTGCATTTCTTTTATCTATGTAGAACATTAATGGTTTTGGTGTCACTAATAGGGTGACAAGTGTATATATATTTGTTTGATAGTTTATACTGTAGCTTATACCTACCCTTCCTGCTGGCTTCCTGGCTCCCTCACTGCACTGAAGAGTGTGCAGTGTCATTCTGTCCACAAAGGCCTTCTCAGTACCTGTGTTGGTTACTTTTGTGGCTGAGACAAAATACCTGACATCCCAAGTAAAAGGGTGAAAGGTTTATTTGGCTTATAGTTTGTAGAGGTTTCAGTCCATAATCGGCTGACTCCAAGGCAGTGTGCCAGAGGGATAACAGTTTATGACAGAGGAAACAGCAAAAAGCAACAAGAGACCTTAACAAAGTCTCTCTGCTCCTTTTATCTTATTCAGACTACCAAGTTTAGGGCAGTGCCAAACCAATCACTCACGTGTAGAGATTTAGTAAACACGTGCCCTTCATCCTAGCATCATATACTCTAGACTCACCCACCTATGACCACATGAGGCTTTGCGGGGGGACATCTAGACTCAAGCCATAACAGTATCCTGCCTGACCTTAATTTTCTCTACTAATTTTTTTTTCAGTTATCCTTCAATAAATAGTGTCTACTCCAGCACATGTATTGATTTTACTCTTTTTTTCCTCCCAGGGTTTTTTTGTTGTTGTTGTTGTTACCGGGGATCAAACTGGGTCCTTCCGCTTGTGAGGCAGGCAGTGGAACCACTGAGCTAAATCCCCACCCACCTCCCTTTTTGTTTTTGTTTTTGTTTTTTTGCCTAATTCTTCACTTGATCGTAGCCAATATGGTGAGAAGTGATTCCTAAATTCTTACATTTAGTTATATTTCCTGTTGCACATTTGAGTTGTATTGTAGGAAAGGCTGATGACAGATAGGATGATTTTATAAAACTTTCCATGGACTCCATAGAACTGAACCCATGGCTGGAGATTAACTCTTATCTGTGTGAAAGCATTCCTTTTTACAATCCCCCTCTTTGATCTGGAATAGTACACTTTGCTTTTCTCGGCTGAGGATATTTGGGCTCATTTTCTCTTGAGGCAAATGATAACATCTGCAATCTTGGTCATCTCTTCTACTTTATTGTTAAAAGTATCTGTTGTACTGCAGTTTCTAAATAATCTTCCCTTTCAAAATTAGGAATGTATAAGATACAAGGAGATAATTTGGGATTTGGAGATTATTTTATCTATCTGTATGGACATTTTAAATAAATAGCATTTATTGCAGTTATCTCAAGTATAATTTGCGTTATTTCTAGAAAGTGAAATTTCTGACAAGTAAAATAGAGAAAACTAAAACCACTTTATTCTAATGCCCAGAGATGACAAAAATTTCTATGTATTTTTCTGTAGTTTTCATTCAACTGTATGTATTTAATTCAATATATTAATATACAAATATTTGTATTTAATCATTTTCTAACTATATAGTCATTACCTAAAATTTATAATTTATATAAGAACTATAATTTATGTTATATGGCAGTATTGGGATATTTCTGTAACATTTTTGGTATAATTTTAACAAAATGAAAACTAAAGTAGATGATTTCCAATTATAAGATTTGTACGTGCATATTACAAAAATGTAAACATTAGGGGCCAGGGATTTAGTTCAGTGGTTCTGCCACCTGCCTTGCAAGTGCAAGGACCCAAGTTCAATCCCCGGTACCAAAAAAAAATGTGAACATTAGAAAAATAAATTATAAAAATTTTAAGTACATTAATTACCCCATTTCTACTGTTAACATATTTATAAGTAATTATTTTCTAAAATTTCACTGATGATTAGATTTGTGGAAATGTTTTTTTTTTTGGTACTGGAGATCAAACTCATGACCTTGCACTTGCAAGGCAGGTATAGTGCCACTGAGCTAAATCCCCGGCTCCTTGTGGAAATGTTTTTTGTGTCTTTGCTTTTAGATTTAGCCAAATACACAGTAAGTAAGCCAGAATGTAATTTGTGAAATAATATTTCAGCTTTTTTTCTCCGTGTTTTAGGTATGTATTCTTTTTGGATCCATGCAAACTGGACTTGATTAACCGGAAGATCAAGTCTGTAGCACTATGTGTAGCAGCATGTCCAAGACAAGAATTGAAAACCTTGAGTGATGTGCAGAAGTTTGCAGAGATGAATGGTGAGATTTTAGGCTGTACAAATCTACAATCCAGTTACCTATAATTACTATTAAATATTATGTGTTTGCATTCTGTATAAAATTTTCCTAGTTTTAAATAAGATACCAAAGAAACTGATGAGAAGAGAATTGAAGTAATTTAGGATTTCCTTATTAAAAGTATTAGAGTCAATCTAGGGAGTTTGTTGAAACTCTAGATTCCTGAGGTGTGGTAGCATGCCTGCAGTCCCAGCTACTGGGGGGTCTGAGGAGAGAGGATCACTTGAACCTGAGTTCAAAGCCAGTCTGGGCCATATAGTAAGACCCCTCTCAAAAGGGTGCAATAAACCAAACTAGCCAAACAAACAAACACCTTAAACATTTATTATCTTACACACATTTAATCAAATTAAAACAAAATTCTAGATACATGGGCTCCTCCCAAGAAGATTCTTAGTAGGCCTTTCTGCCTCAGGAAATTTGTATTTTTTTAAAAAATAGCGCTTCAGGTGATTTTGATGTAGTCTGTTGAGTATTTGGGTATTACTAGACCACTCTATGTAAAATTAGGATTTTTCCCCTCTTTTCAAATATTGATTAAAAGTATTTCAGTTATGGGCCGGGAATTTAGCTCAGTGGTTCCAGCACCTGCCTCACAAGTGCAAGGACCTGAGTTCGATCCCCAGTACAAAAAAAAAAAAATAGTATTTCAGTTAGTGTGTGTGTGTGTGTGTGTGTGTGTATGTATATATATATATATATATACATACACACATACATACACACACTTTCAAAGCTTATGAATAACAGTATAACATAGGTATATGTTACGGGAAATTTAAAAGTTTAGAAAAAATATAAAGATGTAAAAATTAAATTCTAACATCAGTTCTTTTTCATTGTGTTGCTGTATGTGTAATTTCATGTTCTGCTTTTTAAATATAGTGTTATGTAATGGCTGTTTTTTTGAGAGTAGTTTTGAGGAACTCGGTGGTTAAATATATGGGAATTAGTTGAGGAAACCAGTGGAGTCATTTTCCAAAATCTGCCTATGTTCTGAGATTCTTTTCAAGTGCTGTCCTCAGCTTCACAGTGGCTTGCCTCAGTTCTCTTCAGAAATATTAAACCATTCTTTGTGGAGGGCCATGTGCCGATGTACCCTCCAGCCTATTTTTTGTTTTTTTTTTCTTTTTTTTTTAACGTGAGTGAGGTTTCATGTTTGTGCTGTGTGTGTGTAGGACTCCTCAGGCCCACCCAAATCCAAGGCTAGTTTTGGTTTCTTGGAACAGAGGCTGACTCTAGTACCCACCTGTTGTGACTTCAGAGTAGGTGCAGAAATAGCCAGGGCTATCCCTTGTGCACACATGCGTGTGCTCAGTGGTTCAAATGGGGCCTAGGCCTTCTGGAAGACAACAGAAGTGGAGTATTCCTATCTTACCACTCCTTCCCCTCAGCATAGAATGGTGAAAAGGGCATGGGATTGATTTGAATCTGGATTTCAATTCTGATTCTGTCACTAACTCTTTAATAAAAGGTAAGAGATCTGAGCCCAGATTTCCTCATCTGAAAAAATGTGAATTAAAAATAACACCTCCTTATAGGTTACGAGGATTAACTGAGATGATGCCTGAAGAATACTGGATGTGTGATAAGCACTGAATAAAATGGTACCAACTATTGTTTACATCTCATGTTCTTTGCTCACATGCTATCCCTACATTGTCTTGCTGGACCTTATGCTGGAAGGATCAGCCTTATCACTATTGGGTTTGTAAAGGAAGGCTGTTATGCCTTAAGGGTTTTTGCAAAATCTTAGACACAGTGAGTAACGTATATACCTGATAGGTGGTGTAGTTGAGTGGTTAATAGTACAGGCTCTGGAGTCAAATTGTCTAGGTTAAAATATTGGTCCCTCTGCTTAACAGCTGTGAGACCCTGGGCAAATTACTTGACCTCTCCATACCTCAGTTTCCCCATTCTGATATAAGGATAACGTCTGTACCTAACTTACCTCATTAGCATTGTTATGATGAGCCCATACATGAAAAATGCTTAGGGCAGTGTCTAGCAAATACTAAATAGCTAAAAATAATGTTGGTTGCTACCATTATTCTTAGTGTTCCACTAGGGGAATGTAGTAGTCTTCCCATCTCTCATCTCTCTACTTATAGCTCCTTTAGGGACTGCCACCATATAAATGTTCCCAGAGTTCACTCAGTGCTAATTCATTGTTCAAAAATTATCAGCAGTAAAATTAATAAAATAAAATCTCTGCGGTTTACACCAGCATTCAAAGCTATGATTGAGTCTTGAGCTACTTTCCAACATGTCCTGTTAGGCGTACAATGTGGGTTTTGGTGCCTTGAACCTGAGGTCTCATCTGAAGGGCCAAGCAAGAGGTAGTTCCTTGTCAGCTATGTGGCCTTCTGAGAAAAATCCTCTGATGAGAAATGGCCTATGCCACCCTCCTGGCTTGCTTTGTTTCCAGGCCAGCATTCTTCAAAGTGAATGTGATACGGTGTGGAGCCTCTGTAGAAGACTCACCTGGTGGGTTTTTCAGACCATATGAAGATCTGCCATTAAAAATAAATTAAAGGGCTGGGGGTTTAGCTCAGTGGTGCCGCCACTGCCTTGAAAGTACAAGGTCCCAAGTTCGGTCCCTGGTACCAACAAATAAAATAAAATAAATAAATAAATAAAATAAAAAGTGTTAGGCTGTGGAGAAATTGGGACCTTGTGCACTATTGGTGGGAATATAAAATGTAGCTGCTATAAAAAAATGTGGAAGTTCCTTTAAAAATTAAAAATAGAACTACCACATGATCTCAGCAATCTCACTTCTAGGTATATGGATAAAAGAATTGAAAACAGGATCTCAAAGAAATATTTGCACACTCTTGTTCAATGTAGCAGTATTCACAATCAAGAGGTAGAAGCAACCCGAGTATCCAGGGACATTTAGAATGGATAAAGAAAATGTGGTATATACATATGATAAAATATTATTTGATCTTAAACCTAATCACACGCTACAATATGGATAAAACTTGAGAACACTATGCTAAGCAAAATAAGCCCTTTGCAAAAGGGCAAGTACTATAGGGCTCCACATATTTGAGGTCCATAGTGTAGTCACATTCATAGAGACAGAACGTGTGTGTTTCCCAAATCTGTGGGGAGGATACAATAGTGTTATTTTTTTAATAAGTAAAGACTTTCAGCTTTGCATGAAGAAGAGAGTTCTGGAGATGGATGGTATTAATGGTTGTACAATAATGTAAAATTACTTAATGTCACTGAACAGTACATTTACAAATGGTTGAGATAGTAAATTTTATATTATGTGTATTTTACCATAATTTGAAAAAATATTTTTGAAAGAGAAGATTTCTGTTTGAGATAGTAACTTTTAAAATGCTAATTCTAAACTTTATTTTTAAATGCAGGATAAAAATAACATGTTTCCTACCAGAATGAAGAGATAATATGAATTCTTTTCAAGGAAATTTAAGTTTCCACGACAACTTTTGAAAATACTTTTTAGCCCAACCATCCATTCATATGAACTCTTATTATCTTTAGAAATTATTTAAAATTTGATAAGAGGAATCTCTTGATTCTTACAGCATGTTTGTAAGAAATACATTTATTGGGCAAATAAAATATTCCCTTAAATCTTTGTTTCTTTCAGACAAGAAAGAAGAGTTGTTTTCTTGGATACTTAGAGTTTGTGGAAAGCCTTTGTCAAGTATGTCTGACTAGAATAGAGAGTTTGGAAGAAATAGCTGGAAATCAGGTTGGTTATGTGTAGATACTACCTTAATATAGAAAGCTTTGAAAGCAGGTAGGAGAATTTAGATGAATCTAAAAGTACACATTCTAGGATGTGAGTTGGGTGAGTTGGGTATACAAATACGTTTTATCATTGTGCTTCATAATCCATATATAGCATGAATAGCATAAGTATATAATACTAGAAAACAAGTTTTGAATGGTCTTTTAAAAATTCCAGTTGCCAAATGTTATAAAGACTCAGTATCAAGTTCTTTCATTTCTTTATCATCTTCTTGCAGTTATATATGAATTTCCTTGGGGCAGGATTATGCTCTATTCATCTCTGAATATCTGGGCCCAAAATAGGAGCTCACACAGTAGATATCCATAAATGATTTTTGAAAGAATGATGGACTGGATTTTTCTTAATCACTTTTATTGCCACTTAATAATTTCTTGTTCTCGCAACACACTTTATCCTCAGTTCTGTATCCATGTGAGTTGCCACCAGCAGGTAAATTGTTTAATTTCAATTTAGCCTGAATTGCTATGAAATCAGTTCATTTTGTTCATTTCTAAATACAGTAATCCATCTTACTCATTTATCTCTTTTATACATACTCTCCAAGTGATTATTCATACCTTTTCTTCACGTACGTCCTCTTGTTCATCCTCTTTCCTAACCTTATACCCTACAAAGAAAATTGAAATTATCTGGCATGAGGTCCCATCTGAGTTCTTATTTTCAGCAAGGCATGAATTCCATTGTATTTTTACTTTCCTTCCCCATAGTTTCTCATAAACAGGTTTCTTTCCTCATTTATCATTATTTTTGAATATGTAAATTTCTAACCATAAAAGAAATGAATCCTCCTTTTGAAGCTTTGGCTTTATATGAGACTTTCATCTCAACCCAGACAGGTGGTGAAGAAGAGAAAACAGTACCTGCTCAGGCAGCTCTCCTCTCCCTCTCTAATTCTAGCCCAACCTCTCTGTAGTCCACCTTTACTTCACTCCACTGACCCATTTATTCAGCATGGGCATCTGAGTTTTAGTAGATACAGTATTTAAGCCCTGGGTTTTGTTCCAGTGTCCATTTGTTGATATCTAGTATGTGCCATGCACTGTGGCAGATGCTTTGCTTTTCATTTTGTCTCTGCTATCTAAATTCAACAAGCAATTTAGAAAAGGGTATAACATAAGTTAGAGACTGACTCCATGTTCTTATTTGGTGATAATATTTCACA